CTTTCTACCTTATATCCTTTGTTCACTGTAACTGTTCCTTCGGCATCCATAGTTAAATTTCAACCCTGATGATACTTTTCTTTCCACAGAGTAGAAGACTGACGTAAGTACTGTGAAGAGTTAGAAATATCTCTGATGTAAATCTATGCTGTGTCTGGGTGTCTTGCACTGTTAGTATTTTTTCTTTGTACAGTCTTCAGAAATGAGCAGCATGTTTAAAAGAGCTTGAATGAGATCGTTTAAAAGCTGGTAGTAGTTCTGTGCACTTTAACATCTACCAGACACTTACATGTCCCAAAGGTACAAACTTCTCAAGTTTTGGAGTAAATCATTTGATTTCCGTATTTTGAGTGCAGAGGAGCACAATTTGAATCATTGGCTCAAAATGCAGTTGTCATCACTCAGGCATGTTGAAATCATGACCTGGTTTGGTTATACAATTTCTTTGGCTTTCTGCCTGGCATTTAGACATCTAGAAGTTTTGATTGAGTTCTAGGATTAATGTTTGAGGATCAAGATCACCTTTAACTGAAGGTGTGAACTTCTTCATTTGACAACATCCTTTTTTGACCATACTCTCTAAACTGTCCTTAGAGGGAACCTGCATATCCAAATCTTCTCCATCTCCCTCTTTCCTAAGCGGGGATGGACCATGAGAAAGAGAAAAGTTTTGTGGTGGTTGGGAAGGCAGCTGAGGAGAGCAGGGATGGGAGAGAAGAGCTCATCAGAAATGATGACCCCGAGGGGGAGACCCTGGGGACCAAGTGAGCACCAGCACTTACTGAAAAGCTTCCCTAGGGTCTCCCTTACCATTTCAGCTGTCCTTTGGAAGGACAGCAGCTGCATCTGTTGTGGCAGCTGGGCAATACTGCCTTAGGTTTTACTTAGCTTAAGCTCAATTTTATTTGACAAAATGGATAAAGTCCCTAGGTTTAATTTGGTGATTCTCACTAACAGATTGCTCGCAGGTCTGCACTCGGGAAGGTGGCAGAGACTGCTGGCTCTCCATGTTCTTCCTCCTAGGTCTACACGGGTTGCAGTAAATATTCATCATCTGCCTGCGGGAAATACACTGGGGGATTGTTCCAGACAGAGCTCATTTCTGCCAATGCCCGGAGCTGAGCTTTTCTGACAGGGCAGCAATGGATGGGAATTCAGAGCTCACCCCATGATTAAAAGCAGTAAATCAGGACTTCCCATGATAGGTAATCCATTTCCAAGATTTCATAAAGAAAATCTATTCATTGTTAGATGCCACAGAAAGATGGTAACCAGGCAAAGTTCTGTACTCTGTTGGTGTGAAATTCAATGTATTTCTTTTCATTGCTTTCAAACTAATATACCACTCCCCTCCATTTTTAAAAATGAATTTGATATTTGTGAAGGCAACTGAACAGCCCCAGAGGCCTTTACCCTTGGTTTATCTACTGAATGGGTACAATAAATGTAGTGACTCTTCAAACTTCATTTCATTCTCTTCCTGCTCACAGATGGCTGCTGTTTCTTAGTGGGAGAGGCTGTTGATTTTTCACAACTGTTCAGTTTGCAGCCTTTTTACAGAGACTTCCAACCACACTATCCATGAGCGGAAGTTCCAGCGGTGATTTTGGCATGTTGTGGGACACACTTCACAGGATGTTGTACAATCCTTGAGTAGATCCAGACATAAAGGACAAATGACGAGAAACTCCATATTCCATTTTTAATTCTGAAGTGTGAAGCCCATCCTTACAGATCCATGCCTCCTGGCATTCTTTTCTGAAATATGCATGAAATATGCGCCTTTCTTTTCCTGAACTTCAACTTGATTTGCAGCCTCGACTTCCATTTGAGCATATTGCAGGCGTGTGTGCGACTGAGGGCTGAACCTGCTCCTTCGTTCTGTGCAGAATCCCTCCTTGCAGAGACAGCAGAGGAAGCTCGAGGGGGCTGTACCTGAGCTAACTTAGTCTTCTCGGCTTTTTGAAGCGGGCTGCTTAAAACTCTCAAACAGAAAAGAAAGGTGTTTGTCTAGAAAGTGGTGCAGCTGCTTTGTAGCTCGATTAAAAGTATCTTTTGCTTTGGATTCTATTCATTGGCATGTGAATACACTTGGATCTAGTGTTAAAGAAGGGCAGACTAAACGCTCAGGTTCACAGAGTCATTCGTGGGAATGCAGAATGATGCTAGGAACAATATAATTAACATGTTGTTTGTGTAGAGCTCAGAAATCCAATTACCTGTATAAAAGCAGAGTTCATGTGTAGTGAGGCTAATGAGTCACCGGGTCAAATATTTAACTTTTAAGCAAATGATTTGCCTTGAGAAAAAAACAATTTAGACAGACTATTGCGTGTGAATGTCCTGTACCTTTATGAGATATTCCTACCCACACAAATAGGAGAAAGTGCTAGTAAGATCATTTTACTTAGTGCTAAAATGATTGTGCCTAAATGTCATTAATGACAGTATTACAGATATACCCAGAGAAACATTTGGATCTTGAGCGTTGGTATTTACCGTATTGAAACTCTAGTAAATCCTATTATCAACAAGCAAACCTCCTGGGAGTGAGGGAACGCGGCCCCAAGCAGTGTCCTAGGTGTGTCCCAGCAAGGTCCCGGGACCAGGGAAATGTCCCTGCTCCTGCCTCGGGGCAGGGTGCGATTTGGCCACGTGTAAGTAGTCAAAATGTACAGGAAACACCACCCCTCACTGCTGGGATAGTTTAAATATAGAGAAGAGGCCACTACAGGCATTTAAAATACCATCAAGTGGGCAAGATAGCACCATCAGAAAATAGCTTAAGCTTTTACCGTGTTCCCATGCACAGGCTTCTCCCATCCTCCAGCTGCTTCTACATGAGAGCTGGAGCAGGGGGCTTGCTGCCTTTCGCTGCCTTGGGAACTACTTATTATTGCTATTATTTTCATGCTTGAAAACAGCTGCTGGAAATGCAGTAATTGTATTAGAACACCTTGTATTCCCCAGCACAGCACGCTTGTTGTGCTTGAAACACAG